AGAAATTGAGTCATCGAAAGGTAATAAGACCGAAATTGAAACTTACACCACATCCTGTATCAATAGCGGTTCTTATGGCTCCATCAGTAAGAGGAATGAGCCTAGCAATGTCATCAATGTAAGCATCAGCTCCACGTGGAAACATGGTGCCACCACCAGGGAATCTGAATTTTTCGCCTTCCACTTGAATCCAATTCTGGATTGCTTTCTCAATACTTAGCTCTTTGTGTGGGATGTTGTCATACCAAGCATAGTCTCTGCTTTGAGGCCACTTGAATGGAATCTTGTAGTTTGGTGGAGGTGGAATTAGACAATAGAGAAGCTCATCTTTTGAAGGACAATGTCTTTCTCTGTATTTCATCATGTTCCTATCAAATCTTCTCCCTCTTTCTCGATCTTCACATGGAGTGTACTCACTCAGAGACATGTCACATGGTTCGAAATACTTTACGGTTTGATTCGTTATCTTGAGCTCGAGTTTATGATGGCTTTCGAAGTCTAACTCAGCTGGCTCCGAGGAAGAGAAAGAAGACGAAGATGGATTATCATCATCATAAGAATTGGAAGAAGAAGGATTTGTTTGAGTCTTTGAATCGTCACATCCCATTCTTGAGAATACTTCAGAGGAAGAAGTTGGGACAGTGTTGTTTTGCCATGCTCCAAGAACGTAAGACAATATACAGAGTCCACTTACACATAGAATCCAAGTGAGTCTCTTTCTCTTTGCTTCTGCTGCGTGATGACCAGTGTTCTCTTTCGCCATTTCTTGAGTACTGATTCTGTAGAAATGCAAAAGACTTGTAAACTTTTTATCTGATTTTAGTAAAAGAAAAAGCTACAAAATACTTTGTAGCTAGTGGAAAAAATCAATGTAAGAACGTTAGAAAATGTAAGAAAGGGTTTTAGTGGAGCTCGAAGCACGAGGAAAAGGGAACCACCATCACAGGAAAAATAGTGATAAAGAAACAGATTTGTCTGAATATTTTTGTATAAAAAAAGACAATTTGTGACTATTCTTTAGGAAAAGCCAAGAACCACACTCATTAGATGTGGTCTAAAGAGAGGGAAATATCAAAAAAAAATTGAGATAAAGTTGGAGGCTGAATAGCCTCATTTTTCGTTTTGCCATATATACAAACTTCTTGTCGTTGAAAAAAAGAAATTCGAATTATGCAAATGTGTCTGCATGAGAGCAAAAAAAAAATTAAAAATCTATAAAGGTACACGTCAAGATAAGAAATTCACGTGGGTACCCATAACTTTGGACTCTGGGATTTAATTATAAGGCTCATTGTACAATTCCATTATGTAATTGATTTGGTACTATATGAAAGAATAATAAATGGGGCATAGTATTCTAGACAAGTCGAGCAAAACGTCAGAATTTTTCATGTCCCACAAAACCGAGACTTGATTTATCGACAGTGTACAAGAATTCTTCACGTGACATACTTCCGCATATATTACGTACACATTTGATTATATATGGAGAGACCGTTCGTGAGTGTTTTGATAAGCATTTGTAAGTAGAGAGCAATGCAATATGAGTGTGAACTGTGTGACCCAATCGCCATGACTTGTTTTCCTCCTTGTTTCGTGGTTATTCAAAGACACATGTATGTTTCGTTTTGTCTGTTGTATTCAATCAATTATAGCCAAATCCGATCATGCCTAATTTGGACCAAACAGAAATGATTATATCATTAGTTGATAAACTCCACGTATTTCTAGTAATTGAATCAACTTCTCTTCATTATGTAGTCCTGACGAGAGTAGC